TAGTCTATAGGATTCCTATAATCCCTGCCACTGAATTGTGTGACATAAGTCAAATAAATCAACCTCTTTTTGCCCATCTGTACAAATGTTATAACTGTGAACCTGATTTCACAATCATCCTGTGAAGTAGGTTCTTTAACATTTGTACAGTGTTTGGAAATCCCTGGAAAAATGGTTTTCTGTTACAGCAGATGGTGACCCTGATCAAGAAAGAATATATGTCTTCCCAGTTGAACTCAAAGAGATTATCCTATGCATGGAGTTATACAGGTTTGTAAGTAAATTCAGGCTCTGATGCTGAAAAACTAGCATTACAGCACTTTGGCTGTAACACTCAGCATTGGGAGTGCGGAAGAAAATCATAAAAGGAAAACTGGGAAGGAAAATCATATTATCGTTCACCACTCCTGTTAATATGGCCTTTTAAACAATCTCTAAAGGTGATTTCTTTGCTGTTTTGAAATTGTGCAACAAATGGCCACAGAAAAATGAGGAACTGAATTTACTTTTGCTTGAAGCAGACAAGAGCAAATTGTCCTTATCAGATTGGCAAAATTGCCTCAGAAAATGCAATGAATCACTTCATCTTGAGTACCCTTCAGGCTGTGACCCTTTGTTGGCCACTTTGGTAGCTGTGATTACCTAGCAGAGGAGAAGATATTACAGATTTTTCCATGAATATAGCAAGAGAAGTGAAATTAAAAATCATTAGAAAAATACAAAGTGTGGCTTCTCTTCAGGTCCTCCTGCTCCTAGGTTGCTACCTTGTTGTATGAAGTTCTCCAGCAGTCTGTATAACCAGGCTGGAACTCTGGGACGGCTCCTGCTTGTTACTACCTGGAAGGATAGCTAATTATTTTCCAGGCAGTTGCTGCTGGTAACACAGCAGCCATTTTTTTACTCAGCCCAGTGAAATAGGAATCCATAAAAAACTCAGGTCCTCAAGTTTGATTCTGTTTCCTGCTTTTGGGGCAGAAGGCAAGTTCTAGATGTTTTAAAGCAAAGTAAGAAAAAGTTGTACAGCAACAGAATGCAATAGCAGGGGAAGATTACATCTTCTTTCATTTTTAGATTTTCTCGATTGAATCTGGAAGCCATTCCACATCTGAAGCTAACTTTTTGTGTTAGCAGATGGGGGAAAAGCTTGTGATCAAAATACATCTCAAATTTGAGCAAAATAACTAAGTATTAAATTGATGTCTATAACATTAAGTAGTTTGTAACCTGTTTTCAACACAGCTGCCATAAAATAAAGGCACTATTCTCATCCCCAAAGCAAAAGCACAGGAAAACAGTCTGAAAAACCAGCAATGAGCAGGGAAAAAACCTCTTTTAAATATGAATTTTTGAACTCAGCAGCTTTCTCTCTCAAATCATGTTGAGCCAAACAATAAAAGGCAGATGCTGAGCTCATTTACACTGTGGTAAAGCTGGAGAAAATCAGTTGAGATTTATGGGAGTGAGATACTAAGAGGAGATCCAGGCTAGGGATAAGTTTTCTTATTTTCCAATCAGCTAAAAGGTATAATTCTGAATAATCTAGTATGACACACAATTCAGATAACCTGGCAAAGAACTGTTCTCTCCTACCGTTGCATTATTTTAGTTAAGTAGTTTGAGAGTGAAAGGATTGAGCTGGTAACAGACACAGATGTTTTTAAGAACTTTAGACTGTGTATTACACTTAGGGATAATAAGATACTTTAAAATGTTGTTGTAATATGAGAGAATTATTTGTACTAGGTATGTAGCCCATATACGTCTTGCTTTTGAATCCTTATATATGAATATTGGAAGTGACAGATATTGTCTGTAAGTAGACTTGTATGAAAAAATGTTCTTGATATTATTAATAGATGAGAAACTAAAGTCTTTACTGTGGGCTACAGTATGTCTGGTTGTAACCCACCTACCTTAGCCTGCTTTATGATGACTTTTGCAGATGCTCAGGAACATTTTCTTCATTCCCAAATACAATAGTAGTACATGATAGGTCAAAGTACCAATGAAGAGGAATAGTAATATAATGGACTGGGATCTATTGCATGGTCTTATGGATCAGTGTAACAGCTGATGCTTTGTCATTATGCACCTTTAAACAATGGGAAGATTTCTTTAGAATGTTTCTTTTGCTCCTGCTGGGACTCTCCAAGGCCCTGAAGCAGGTTTGTATCTCAAAGGCACAAATGAATACTCACTATATTTACTCAAACACAAGACAAGGTTTTACCCCTAGTCAGCATGGGGAAAAACCCTCTCATTTTATGCATACAAAGACACTACAGTAAATATGCTGTCTAGTTTTGAACTGCTGCTAAAAGCTTTTGTATTCAGTAATAAAAACCAACCAATGGAAACCAGTTCAGCAATGGAAGTCTATTAAATACAACCAACACTGAGCATGACTGTGAAGTACATGGCCCATTTTGGACAAACATGCTGATAGGAACCGAGTGTGTGCGTGTGTACGTGTGTGTGTTTTAAAAAAACCATGAAGGTATTCCTTCTGCAGAGAACTACCACCAGACCAGCACCGGGAGGGCAGAGCTAACCCTGATACTTTCTTCTTGGTGCTAGAGTTACTACATATGAGATGTTGATGGGTTAGTACAACCCATCTGGATAAAGTATATGGTAGGGCCCATTGAGCAGTCCCTCTCAGTGCTGACTCTTTTTCAAGTTATGGTGGGCTACTACATTGTATAACTTTTGAGTTCCTCTTCACTTCCACAGCTGAGCTGTGGCTTTTTCCTCCCATTTCCAATTATTCCCGTTTCTTCACCGGCCTTAAAAGTCTGTCAAACATCATCAAACTGGGCCCCAAATGGTTCACCCAGAACCCCTTTGTCATCCCCTCTCTCAGTCTATCACATATGATTAGTGTGGCCCAGCACTCCATGCTGTGAAGGTAGATCATGTTGTCCTATGCCTCATCTGCATATGATGAAGCTTCCAGGACTTATGACAAGAGCACCCAGTTCCAGTCTTGAGTGGGAGGATAATTAGGACATAGATCTTTTATGGGGGGTATCTGGAGTACACAAACATGCTGAGTAGTGCTGAGCTGTGGGGTCACCAGGGCTTGAAACACTGTTGACTCTGCTGGTGTCCAGCCCAATGAACTATATAGTAAATCCTGAAAGGCCAGAGTCAAGGACATGCAAGCAAATGCAACACGCAAACATAGGAATAAGTGATTCTATTTCTTTAACCATTTCATTCAACTTATTTCCCAAACTCCATTTTTATTACTCTGTCACTGACTCTTAAGAGAGTGGTTCTGTCGCTCTTTTTCCCTCAAAGTTCTTCTTTATTCCAAAAATATTTGTGATCAGTGAGATTATTTGCAGCGTAAACCCCCTGGTAGATATTAAAATAGTCATATGATGGGTACTTATCCATGATCCCAATAATCACACATCCTGTCATGCCAAATGTGCATGGCAGGACATGAAATTATGGGGATCATGGACAGATCCCAATCATACAACTACTGGCAGACTGGCTGGGCTGCTGGGCTAAGGGGTTTAAATTTCCTAGAGGGGGAAGGGGGATCCCTTGGTTCCACCCACCAGGAACTTTTAATCACTCACACCTAGCAGCCCCAGCTGCCCCTGCTGGGAGTGCAGGACCAGAGCAGCCCTGGGCCCAATTGGAGACACAGGGTTACCCTGGGGCCCAAGGCTAACAATCAGGTGATTGTTGGCATCAGGCCCCTGACAGCCCTGGAGTGTGGTCATGCCACATGTTCAGTTTAAAGTTCCACAGCTTGCAAGTGTGAAGTTATAGCATTTTCCAGAGGCATAAATAGGAATTTGACACCTTGGGAACTGAGTGAGATGTGGGATTGAGTGAGTCTTACCTTCCCATGCACAGCCTGCTTAAACTGCTTGTACAGCGTGGGTGTTGATGCCATGGCACAGGCTCCCCAGGGGCCGCCATTCTCGTACCCATATAAATTAGCACCCTTCCTATATCCCCCCCCCCCCCCGGTAGGTACACTACTCGAATTTTAACTGGAAAAGTACACCCTTCCTTTTTTTCTTTTAAACAATTGAGCAGAGAAACAGCAAGCTGATACAGGTGATTGATATTTTACTATATTTTGATTGGTTTCATGTATTTTGCAAGTAACCATATTATGATTTAAAGATGTGGTAAAAAGGATTATGATCTCTCTTATATTAAAGTAAGTTGTTTTCTCTGGTGGCGTATGCATACATCTTACTTGTTAAGGAGTATGCCCAATTACACATAAGTCCTGGGATGACAAAATTTAGGACATGGAGCATAGGAGTGTCTCCTGGTAGGAGAAGCATTGTGATTTTGCTCTGGAATGGGCTTTGCCTGGTCCTCAGATAGCAAAGGTACATGCCTGTAAAAATACCTTTAATGTAGTCTGGTTTCAAATTACTGAAGGTAATATATTAAAATAATTATATCTATGGGATTAAAATTACATAGCTATACATGTAATGTATAAATTGTGCGACTGCTAATGCACAGCTTCTATAGGGGATGTTGTTTTCAGTGCCTGGAAGGACTTTACAGTTTTAGGAAAACAAAGACTCTACTGTCTCTCATTAGTACATTTCAGTGACAGCATTTTGATGTGCAATTTGAAAGTGTTACATTTTCAAATACCTAGTTAGGAAAGCTCTTACTGTATACAGCAAATAGAAATTTACATTTCTGTTAGTTCAATTTTTTTCAATCACAATGCTTTCGCTAAGACAGTAGGATATTGATTTACATGGAGGACTATGTGAAGACTTATTGTAGTAAGATAATCTATTAATTAAATTAAAGGTTTCATCTAGGTCCTAGAGGATACAATGATATTTGTTGTTCACTAGATTGTTTAAAGTGGTAGTTTTACTAGCACTTAATCAGATTAAAATGATGTGACAGATTCTCTGACTAACCAGAGTGGATGTCAACAAACAGCAAGCAGAGCTTTATGCAATTATAAGAAATATTTTTGCCTTTATCTTATACAGCATCCAGACCAGTGGATCGGAAACTATGTACAGGAGCTGTACCCAGCACCACCCAGTTGTGTCATATTCCTTGCCCAATAGAATGTGAGGTGTCCGCTTGGTCAGCCTGGGGACCATGCACCCACGAAAGCTGTGATGACCAACAAGCCAAAAAGGGTATGTACATATTTTAAAATTCTTTCTTAAAAAACTTCCAATTTCAGCATTATTTATTGAGGTTTACACAGTAATAGAAAAAATATCCAAGACACTAAAAAATTTAGTCTATGCAAGCATATTCTTGCTTGTACCAACAAGAATGCATCCAGCAGTCTCCAGAACATCACAAAATAACAATTCCAAAATCTGCCATAAGTACTATCCTTCAGGTATTTTCCTTCCTCCCCAAAAGCTTGTGGAAAAGATGGGTTTTTAAATGAGCTCTTTAGATCCACAAATAAGAGCTTATCCTCAAATTCCGGATTTGGGGTTGCCTCTCAAATTGAAAGGAATCCAGCTTGAGTATTTTTCCAGTTCATAGGTATGGAAGTATCTGAGGTGGATAGGACTCAAGCCACTCAGGTTTCTATAGCTTAATTCCACCTTAAAATTCATAAGGAACATTAGGCAGCCAGTCCAGTACTCAGAGGTCCAGAATCATTTGCTTGTGGTGAGTTGCACTGCGTAATTGGCATTTTAATGCCTTCTACAAGTTTGTCTCCTAGTACGTGGCAGTAGGAACAGCTCATGGAGATCGAATTGCAGGTACCCTGTTCCAAAGGCATGAATCATGGTAGTGAGGTCCAAACAAATAAACAACTGAAGTTTACCCATAGTTGTGAGAATCGGCCCTAGTCCCTACTGCAGCATGAACACAGATCACCAGCTGTGGATTCAGCAGAATCACCTTGATTGCTAAGTCTTGTAATGAATGGTAGGCACACATGATTATTTAATAAGGCAGAAATAAGCTGCCTTATATTTCTGTATTACCAGCATCACTTTACTCTCTGCAATGGTAGTACAAGTTTTCTACTGCTGCCTTCTGGCCCATATGATTCAATTTTGATTGATTTTAGAGGTTAAAGAGTAATTCAGTTTCTGTGTCCATTCACACTTTGGCCTCTCTTCTGAGGATAGTAACAAGGTTGCCTATTATCATTACCAAGGTTGCAGCTGTGCAATTAATTTATTTTTTTTCTATACCGCTCAAAGAGTTGCAAGGTGTTTGTGGGCGGCAGCATGTTTGTGCAACTTACCTGGGTACCTGCCCACTAGAAATATGTTGCAGTACACCAATTTATTTTATACATTTTTTTAAAACTTGAAGATAGATCTCAGGAAACCCTTCTATGTGTTTTAATACATATGGTAAAAGTTTCGGCACAGAGGCAAATTTTATCAGTGGTAAGGTTAGCAAAGGCAGGCCAAGTTCATAGTTCTTTGTATAAGCAGAATGATTCCAACACTCGTGCATCGTGTCTACATGAGAAGCTGACTGCGCAGCCATTTAGTACTTGTATATGAAGATGACATCGGTGCTACTGCGCAGGCATTCATCAAAAGGTATTTTGTCAGTGCTACTGCACAGTCACTCAAGTAACTGCACGGTCATTTAGAACTTGTATACCTGAGTGACTGCATAGTAGTGCCAACAAACGCCTTTTTTTCAGTGCTATTGCGCAGTAGCCTAATACTACTGCATAGTAGCATTGCATCATGGTTTTTGCCATGCAGCACTACTACACAGTAGTGCAATCAGCATCTCATATAGACACGGCCTTGGCGAACTATACCCTTTGGATTTTAAAACTTTAGCAGTACACACGATAGCTCTGCTTTTTCCTCCCCGGCACATATGTTGGTATTGTACAATGTATTGAATTATATCTGTGTCAGTGTAGTTATAGCTTGGGTTTTTTTAGACATCTGGAGACGGCGTGATCTGAGTTGCAGTCCAGTCCATATCTCCTATTTATTGTTTTGCTTAGCTATGTTGTAAGTGCAGGTTTTACTTTTGGGACTTAGAGAGCAGCAATGCATTTCTTCATTGCTATTCTGAATCTGTTCTTTTTCTGGTGTGTGAGATTTTTTTTGAAAGCCCTGATAAAGCAAAATAGGATGAGATTGTATCAAACTATATGTGAAAGATCTTGTATGAGTTTTTAACTCTGTAAGCATTTACTCCACAGGCAAGTTAAAGAAAAGTTGATGTGTGCATGTGTGGTGATTTGGTTTTTCATATCCTTTCCATTAGATGTTGAGGTTGGCTGAGTTTAGTTGATAATGTATAAGAAAATTATCTCAGTGGTAAAGAGGTGGTGCAGTATGTGTCCTGGAAAGTAGGTGCTTAGAAGTCATCTTCTTTGGTGCTGGTAAATTCAGCTTCGTATTTTTATTGAAAGGCATTAACAATTTCATCGCCATTAGGGATGCCCTGGGAGTGGCATTTCATTCCTTTGGCCTGTTTAATTTTCCACCCCGTAAATATTTATCATGCAGTTTTGGACTGACATGGTTTGCTGTGTTTATGTCCAGTTGTTTCTGACAAAGATAACACTTAAATATGGGAGTCTGAACTTCTGATCTTAGGAGGCTGCATGGCTGGGTAAATTTTACAATCTGAAATGCAGGAAAAAATCTATTAAAGTTCTGTTATCCTTCTCCAGCTTTGGTTCCATGGGAAAATTTTGCTCATTTCTAGCCTTGCAATTTGCTACCATACACGACTGTTTTGCCTCTTGAAGTGATTTGTGTTAGGTGAATAGCTGACTCATGGACACAGTTCTGTGTATCATAAATAGGTATACCAGTGAAGGTCTCTCTCATATATTCATAGTCACTATCTCATTGTGATATATAACAATTACTTAACTGGTAGATTAAGGAGAGGCAGCAGTGTGCACTGTAGTGTTTTTATTTGCTTATCAATATTTAAAGGAAACTTTCCACTTACTGTTTCCCTCTAAGTGTGACTCTAATTCTGGCTGATAATTTAGAAGAACTGCTGCATTCGTAAGTCAAGAGGAACTCAAATATCACCAATGTGTTCCTGTAAAGTAACTTGAATCTTCAATGTAAAAACATATTTCTGCTCTTATATACCCATAAATTTGATGCAGAATTCTTTTCTCTCCCACATGCTTTTGCAAGGTAACTGAAAGCAAAGGCACCTTGAAAGTGAGACCACAAAATTCCAGAATTTATGGGTTATGTGCACCACACCTGATCTCTGATCATGTGTCTTGCTTTAAGCCACATGATTGTAGATCAGGAGTGACTGATGCTCGTATTTGCTGGTGCCATGGGCCACACTGGAAGCTTGATCTAAATAACTTGACATGGGGGTAGGTGTGGGCAGGATCAGAAGTGGAGTAATGGCTCTGCAGGGGTGGGGCTGGTAGGTCTTTGGTGGGGTTTCTGTAGGGAAGTTATCCTTCTGGGAATGGGGTGGCTAAAAATAGACTAGTCAGGGTCAGAGGGGTAGGAAGCACAGCCCCAGAGCTGGGATGAGCAGCCGGGTTTCCTAGCCCCAGGACTGCTCTCTGAATGTGTGCAGTTGTTCAGTAGATGAGACTAACCCATTCCCAATCTAACTTAGTTCACCTCCTCAGGTGAGCTAACTTGGATCAGGCCAGCCATTTTTTTGCTTTATTTAATGTCCCTGAACATCTGTACAGTTCAGCACTTAAGGCTTTGTTACATGTTACACTGTGAGCTAGCTTAGTGCTAGCTTGCAGTCATACCTTCAACTTGAGGGGCACATCTGTGTGGAGTGGCCACAGCTCAATGGAACAGGAACTGGGATATGTGGTTCATGAACATAGGCGATGTGTAGGGAGTGCACAGGAGTGCATGTCCACCCCTTGAGAGTGCTGGTGCCCCCCTTGACAGCGAGTGCTCTCAGCTTAGGTGACAGGCAGGGGGGGCAGGTGGAGCGCTGGTGCCCCCTCCCCCGCCACAGATACCACCACAGCTGCCTGCAGACGGTCCCTGCTTGCCCAGCCCTCACTGCCAACACTTGCATTGCTGCCTGCAGACAGTCACCATGCGCCCCCCAAGCCTCAGGAGGCATGCATTGCATATGATCATGAAATAATCTTTCCCTGGCGTGGCATAACTTTGATCCTCATAACAAGTGCTTTAAGACACTTGAAGGTGTTAACATGTGAACAATCCAGGGGCTAAGAGCTCCAGGAACCACCCAAAGTTAACATGTAACAAGGCCCTTAGATCAACCATACTCTAGTTACATCAGTCAAAATGTAATATCTTCACATACCCTATATCATGAGCGTATTGCTCACCAGTACTTTCTTGCTTATTGGTTTATTTACAAAGCACTTTAGAAAACACCTTGATACATATGCAGCTTAGATTGAAACATTTCTATATTTATTATCATAAATTAATATGTGGAAAGGAGAAATGGTACCCCAAATGGTATCCTTTTCTTTTTTTGTTGCTTCTTTTTTCCTCCTCTTCCCTTTCCCCCAACCCCCTGTCTTCAATTCATATTTTCCTCTTGCCTATTTACAGTTTGAATTCCCTTTTTCTTCTCCCTCTCTAATCATATACATGATTTTGGGCAGCCTATTCCTTCTTTTTTATCCTTACATTCATTCTCATCATTTCTCCCTCCTATCTCATGTCTCATCTTTCCTTCCTGTATTTCCGTCATCTCTACCCTTCTCCAGTCTTTGCTTCATTCTTCTCCTGCCCCACTGTTTCTTCTTTGGTTCTTTCTTCTTTCAGTTTTCATGCCAGTGCTGCTTCCTCCTCTGGCATCTCTTACTACTTTTATGGAATGTACTCTTACATCAAAACTGATGCAGTTTCTGTGTGATTCAGAGAAGCCATACCTCTATCTTTAAAGTACTAAGTGCACTCGTGGAAGTAGAAACTGATTGCTCTACATATTTCAGTAATAGGCTTTCAGTAGTTTCTGGTTCACATGCTGACTCTCAGTTGCCTCCGGGGTTGTAATAGTTGCAATCATAGCGAATTCCTTTGAACTTTGTACCAGATCAGACGTTTTCTGTGACAGATTCTTTCGGACACAGATCTTATAGAATTGTGCTCAAATAATCCCAGAAAAAAAGATTAACTGAAATATATTATTTATAAATTATTTTTAAAAAGAATGATACATTTAAAAAAAACTCCTTATTGAACCTAAAGTATTCTGTGTGGAATTGACATTTATACATAATTATTTTTGAAAACTCATTGGTATATTTCATGTTGTGAAAACTGGAATAAATATCCCATGCTCCTTATAATATCTTTATGATATTATCCTGCTTGAATGCATAGAGGTAAATAAAAGGAGGGTGTAAGACAGAAACCAATAAAAAAAAGAAACAGTGACAAGGATATGCTCAGATAAGGTATAAAAGAAATCCTTTGCAAGCCAATGGGAAATCTGTTAACTGGGGAGATCCTACCTGCTTGGATCATATTAGTCTGGTGAGGTATAGTATTCCTAGATCAAGAATCCAGGCCAAACCTGAAAGATACCACCTGGAAATCAAAGTGTTGGGAAAGAGGGTTATTAATATACTGGAGTGATGCCCACACTGATCAAGACAGAGAGACCACACTGCAGGTGGGGTCATCACTTCCCAGTCAAAGATAGGTGCTAGTTGTGCATTTTAAAAACACTTCCAAAGAAAATTATAGGTGTGTGTATAGGTGTGCGTGTATAGGAAAATTAAAAGGTAGTATGTACATAAGACTCTTTGTTTATGAAGCCAGTTGCTCTGTGTCCCTGGGTGAAGGAATAAGAAATTGTTTGGTTTAAATAAACTGGTTCTGATGTGCTAATCAGCAGGGTTTGCAAGATTCTAGAGCACTGATTCCCAAAGATTATATCACAAGAGCAGTGGAAAGATACTTTATCTGTATCAGATCTGGCCCACAGAGCCACGTGATCCAGCCCACAGGGCTCCTCATGGAAGTTTGACAGTGGGGGGGCAGTGATGACAATTAACACTGTTACCACTCCCCTACCATCAAATTTCCAAGCCCCATACAGTGGAATCAGGTCCTGGCCATGCTAGCCCCATGAGGCGGGATTGGGACTGGGCTCCAATTGGGCAGACCTGGGCATGGGATTGAGCCCATAAACTGGTACTGGCCTGTGGACCGACCCAATACCGCTTATCTGTCATGCAGGGCAAAAAGGTTGGGCACCACTGCATTAGTCTAACATATATAACATTTGAGGTGTAAGAGTGAAGTGTGCCACCATTTTTAATCCAGAACAAAGTGCACCCCACGTGTCAAAAAATTAGGCAACATGGTTTTAGAGAATTTCCTGGTACCAAACTTAGTGGTCCTGTTGCTTTAACATGGTTGAGAAATGAGGACTTAGAAATTCAGTCTAAAAAAAGTCTTGGACCATAGAGTTTAGGCCACAGTAAGATGCAGGAAGCAAGGGAAGTTATCTGAAGTACAGAAAGAGGTAAGGCATAGCTTGCCCAGTAATCAGGATGCATGCCAAGCTTCTCACTGTTCTGTATTTCTTGCAATTGGAAACATCTACTGCCTATGCAGTGTAAGCATTCAGTTCCCTGCACTACTTTACATAGTAGTGACATCATTGGGTGTTACAGCAGAAACACAAAAAACTTTGTAGGAGAAACGGTTGGTGATAGACAGATAAAAAACAGAACAAAACAAATGACCCAGCCCCCACTTTTCACTTTGCCTTTCACACAGAATTATTTCTGACTTCTATCTTCTACCGGCACTTTAGGTTTTAAACTAAGGAAACGACGCATCACAAATGAACCTACAGGAGGGACTGGAAACTGCCCTCATCTCCTTGAAGCTATCCCATGTGAGGAGCCTTCTTGCTATGATTGGCGAATAGTGGAATTAGAAAAATGTATACCAGATAATGAGAAGCAGTGTGGGCCCGGCACTCAAGTTCCAGTGGTTGTCTGTATCAACAGCGATGGTAAGATGGCTATTCAACAAATGTGTGGTTTCACTTGCTCACTTTTCGGAGGCTAAAATTCAAAGTAAGGTGGTAATGTATTTTGTTCTTTTCATTCGGGTTTCAAAGCCAGCCAGTTAAAATTATCATGCACTATTGTATATGCCAGCTGGAGTAGAAATGCTGCTGTATGCAGCAGTGAACTCTTTTCTCCCATACACTTTCAGGTGAAGGCTTGTGAGCAGCCTCTGCAGGAAGGGGAAGCTGTGAAGAAACAGTAAATAAAAAAAAAGAATCATAGAATTCATAGAAAAGGAAAAAAGGCCCTTATGTAACTTCCCTGATGTAATTCCAATGCTAGTTTGGCCCACTGAATCCAATTCTAAATAAATATTAAAGGGTGAGCCAAGTAAATGCCTTACATATCTGGGAGCTACACAATCTCTTAGTATTAAAAAGCTAAGTGTGATATGCGCTATGAAGTTGGTTTGACAGCCTGTGACATGCATCAGCCTGCCTCACTTTGTTTGCCCTTCTAGCTGTAATAAATTAAAGTGGGCAAGTAGAATACCACTATTTTCAATTATGGTTCATATATGGGAAAAAAATCATTATACATAGCGTAAAATCTTAACTACTCACTTTGAAAGCTACACTCTTAAAATATATTTATTGACATGAGGCTCTAGTTTCAATGTCGGGAGAATCATTATTTTTTTTTTGTGATATTGTAACCTATATTGAGCTGCATATAAATTAAAAATAATCATACTGACTACAGTGTAGCAGAGACAAGAGACCTGTAAGTACCTCATATCATATTAACCAAGAGGTCACCCGGTGACTGTTTAGAAGCTGTGCCAAATGTTGTTTTGTAATTACACTGGGCAGAGGGAATTGGAGTTGATTACTTGTGCAGACTCTGTATCTAGGCACGAGCTGTGGCTCTAGATTTTGTTTCGTAATTGAGTTTAGGGCTCAACTGGGAAAATGAAGAATTAGAGTGTAAGCTTTATTTTTGTGTACAGAGCAAAGAGAATTATGTGTCCACTGGCCCTGACACTTTCTACACCCCATAATGAGATTAATAGTATAACATGACATGAAAACATGACTCGCATGTTATATTCTTCATAAAACAAGTTTTCTTCACACAAGATACAGCCTTTCTGCCCCTTTTGGTAGGAAAACTGAAACTATTTTAGAGGCTTTTTATGCATAAAATTATTTTTCTGATAAAAATGGTCTTTCAGAGATGAATTTTTTTTGTTAAACAATTTTTATGGTTTTTTTTTTTACTTTTCAAAAAATTTATCACAGACTAAAATATAGCTGCTTTTCATTTTATTTGATTATTTTGGTTTTATTGATGTTTTACTTGCATTGTTTGAAAGGGTTGAGTTTGAACATGGTAACTCGGAATCAGCTTAGTATGTTGGTAAATGGTATGATGTTTCCTGTTCACTGACATGGGTAAGAATAACTATAATACAGCTGGGAATATGCAATCAAGTCATTTAACCTTGCCCTGTGTCTTGCAGAGATGGCAATATTTTTCCATTATGTTCTGACTCAAAGAGACTCCTTCCATTGCCTTGAATAGGCTTTGGAATGGGTCCCATGTGACAGAGCTAAGCCAAATTTGAAGTGGAAGGGCTGAGTTCGTGTTTCTTTTTCCCCTGTAATATTGATTCTGTTTCTTCTATCTGAACCTTTCTGAATTGTTACTGTACACCCCTGTAGCTTACTGCTGTGACCGCATGCAGAAGCCTAACTATTTTGGCACCCTGGGCAAAGCAGAGTGGGGAGGGAGGATGTTGTGTAACACAAGGGCGGGAGAGGAGGAGAGTGGGTTGTGAGCAAGTTTTACCCCATCCAGAGACAGAGACTCAAAGATCCCGGGTGCTGTTGCTAGGCGCAGGATTACCAACCCAGCAAGGGTGCAGGGCTCCTGCCATGGCTGGCTCAGGCGGCTGCTACTACTGCAGCAATACAGACTCCACATACAGGGGCTTCATCAGTCCCCACCTTTTTGGGCTTTCTAGGGGCTACCAGTCTGGTACCTCCTGTGACTCTCAGCCATTCCTAGTTATGCTACTGACCATGTCTATTTTACCAGCAAGCATGTTGGTATTTGTGATAATGGGTGGGAAAATGAACACAATTTCAACATAAGGGAAATGCTGATTGATCATTGAGTAGTATGGGGTCCAAAGTTATATTACACAATGAGATGTAATTTCAGTACCTCAAAAGGAAGAGCAAAAAGAGTAGGGGAGAAAAGCTTCTTTGATGCCACTTGGCTGTCTAATGCCCTTACATGTCAGTAATGAAATGAAAGAAAACTTTGTGAAAGCATGTTGTTACCACACAATGATGTAATGGGCCATGGATTCAGACCCAGCAAATGTACACATTGAAGCTTAGTACAGTTCTCAAAATTAGCGGCCTGGAATGTAAGTCATCCACATTCAGTTTTTTGGAGCACAAACAGCATTTTTGTCAGCAGCTATGGCTCTACAGAAAAGGAGTAGTGGCTGCTTATTCTTACAGAATTATGACTATCACAGAGACCATCATGAACACTGTCATGCACACATCAGGAAGAGTAGGAGCTTACATGGAGATTGCTTGACTCGCTGTTTCTGTCTTTGATTTGCAGTTAATACCACCCTTGTATTAGAAATTGGCTAAGATGTCATAATGTAACAAAATAAATGTAAATCTATTTGCATAACTACAGTCTTTCATCTCACAGAAGCTGTATTGAATTCAAATGCTTCTTATTGAATATTTGTACTAGAATAGGTTACATGGTATTTTCCCACCACAATCTTCTAAAACTGTTTGAACCTGTCAATTCATTTAATTATGTGCATTTCTTCTGAAATGTATGACTGCAGTAAAGCACCATGAAGTAATGAATGAATCTTTCAAATGTCATTTCCTGTAATGGTTTGTAGCCCAGTCTTATAGGCTGCTGTTAAGTTTGAGGTGGGTCCCTCCCTGCAGCTACTCCTCTAGCCCAGCAATATATTGTCTTGCTTGATCTGCAGGTGGCATCTCTGCTCCCTTTCTTGCAGCTAAAGGAGAATTCAGAATAATGCTGGAAACAATCAGAAGATGTAGCAAGAACAGAAAGAGAAGGGTGATTCCCCAGACCTAGATTGTCAAAGACAGTTGTCTAAGCAGTCCAAAAACAGCTTCTATTCTAGCAGCTCTCTAGTTTGCACCATCCCCCCAGCTTCTGCTCAAACCCTAGCCTAGGCAGTGCTCCATCCACCTGCATCCCAGGACCCCCCTCTACAGGACTGTCTAAGAAACTGCCAATACCCCTCTGAAAACAGCTACTTTCTAAAAAGCTACAGGCTTCCCACCATAGAGAGGTCATGTGCAGCTCTTACCTGCTTTAGTCTCAGGTATGTCTTCTAGTACCCAGCTTCACCTAACTATTTTGTATCCTCTGGATACCCCAGTTAAAGCCAGCTGCCATATTTTGTATATCTCCATCTACTAAGAATTTCTTGGGCAGAATCCACTGCCTATCCAGAGAGGTTTTTGGCAATATACAGCTTATGGCCTGGGCACAAAACTTGAGCACTCTAAGGTGAGTTGCATCATTTTTTTACATTAATAAAAGTTACACCAGTATATGGAGCAAACAGATGGACAGTTCTCATAGGGTAACTCCTATAGGAGATACTATTACAGCACCTTGGTGGCAGGAGAGCTAGTAGTAATTGTTAGCACAAGATACAAGACAATTACACTGGTGGAGTTTTAGTTCTGAGTTTTCCCAGGGTTATAGTAAGTTAAAGTAATCTAGGGCTATATATCATGGTCATCATATATCATGTTCTGTTCCTTTAATACATTGGTAAAGTAGGATAGGTGACATCAGTGTGAATAATATTAATAATAACAACAACAACAACAATGTTGATGATAATAATAATAATTCATAGCTCAATTTAAATACCACACAGTGAGCTTCATGTCATTTGGGTTACGTGTAGAGGAAGGAAATGATACTAGCAAAAACATTGAATCTTAAATTAGCATCAAAAATTGAAATGTTGAACTAAAACTAAATAGATCAAAACCTTTCCTTCAAATATCTGTCTCTTCTGAAAAGATTTCTGTTTAATTTAGTGCAAATTAACTAGCCAAACTTAAGTCAACCTCTAGAAATATAAAATCAGTCAAAGATGCATAAGTATGTTTATATGTCTCTGTATTTTTGTATGCTTCAGTGTTACATAGTGGAAGAAGCTGATGATTTTAGATTTAAAATAAGTGCCATACTATAACTACATTAGATTAACATACACCAAGAGAGGTGGTTAGCCATGTTAGTCTGAAGTCAGTCAGAAGGCAGGATAGAAATGCCCCTTTATAGACTAAGTAAGATATATATAGAGAGAAAGCACAAGCTTTCTTGAACCCGGGTTCATCAGATGCTGTGAAAGGATAGCATAGAGCAGAGTATTAAGTGGAATGAGAAATTAGAATACAATATGGAAGAAAGCAGAGCAGGAGGAGGAGGGAACAAGGAGAGTGATGTGGAAGGCATATAAGCAAAGAACGCCTAAGAACAAAGGGTCACAAAAACTAATCCAGGTAATGGATAATCTGTAGTTTTCTGTAGACCATACTTAACACTGTCCAGTTTGTGGATGATTTCTTGTTTGGTAATTTCCCATTCAAACTGGGTTTTGAAGTTTTTTCAGACTGAGAACATCAATTCTGAGGTCAGCAATGGAGGGTCCATGGAGGTTAAAGTGTTCTGCCACAGGCTAGCATGTCTGTCTTTAACATAAACCAAACCATAAAACAAATCAGTATTTTCTCTTTCTGTTGGTACTTGCATCACTAAATATTTTTGTAGTATAATTAGCCAGGAGATCGTGTTTCAACATGCCGTCTCTTATTTTACAATTAAAATCGAATAACAGTGTTTGTGGGATTGTTGCATATAATTAGAATGAGGTTGTCTATTCAGTTTGTTGGAAAGATAAGAG